CTTGTTAACTATCACATTAGAGAGGAAAATTTTATTTACCAAGTTTTAGAATATTCAATTCGTAGGAACTTTAATAAAACCCCAGTAAATATAAACATATTTCTGTGTGAACTCAGAACTCAACCAAAGTTGTTTATTAGTTCGAGGGCGTGAGGGCTTTGTTCGGTTAAGTTAGTTTTCAAACATAAGGTTTCAGAAGATATAAAGAAAGGTTATATGCACCGATCAATTGGTAGCTTTGACATTCACCCCTCGGCAACCCATGGGCAGTTGACTGTCGTGTGTTCCGGGGGGGTGGGGGCGGAAACTTAAACCTTGTCTGGCGGGGGTGGGGAATTAGAATCGGAAGTGAAACGTTTTTCTAATGAAATACACGTGTTTTATCTTTAATATGGAAGTGGTTAAAGATAAAGAGTTCAAATTCACGAGCTAATGGCTCAGAAGAGAAGATTTACAAGGTCTAAGTTTTAAAGCTTGTCAATGAGTAGAAAGTCACCGTTGGTGATTCCGTCTTTCACAAGAAAATTGACTATCAGATTTGGCCTTTGGGTGAGGCATTTGAACACAATGTTTGGCCCCAGGGGGAGGGAATTTAGGGCAACCAATCTTCGAAAGTTCAAAAGCCCGGGTTGTTGCCTGGTGGCACTTTGAAGCTTTCCATATTTTGAAACAAAAGATTGTATGTTTTACCATCCTTTCAAGTAACCAGCTATTATTCATAAGGTCAAGACAAAATATCTGTGTAGACAAGAATATCCACCTTGTTTTATACCCCTGTCCCGTTCAGAGACAAAACTAAAGACAGAAAATAAAATTCGTTTGTTGTTAAGGATGCATGCGTTTGTTCATCGCAGTTATATTGACAAATGACTATCTAATCGTTTTCCAACGATTCAGAGCCATTATTATCCACAAGGTCAACCTGTCAGTTGAGCATAGTGATCCACAATAATTTTGATATCGTGATAAAAAAAAACTTTCACGATTCTATATTGATGATTCAGTTCTTTATATGTTTGCAGCCAAAGATTAATCTCCATGTATAAAAAGAAACCATCGCATCACGACAGGAAAGTAATAGGTGTTTGAACGACGCTAAAGTGAGAGTTCGAGGTTCCTAAGCACCATGAAGTCATTTTGTTTACTTTTGCATAGGTCATATTCATAGACAGTAATTCATATGAGGCTCTATAACGATAGATTTAGTTTTATTTGTTTAAAAAAGGGCTACAAGCTGCTTATTTTACTGCTACAAGTACTTAAGTACACTGTCTTCGAATTGCAAGTCCGTCTTTCATGCGTCAAAGGTTTTAGCTGAAGTTTAATATAATCATTGTGATCGCAGTGGAAAAAGGATAAAAATCAGCGAAATAAGTTAAGCTTGTTTCACATTTTTAAAGTTTCTTGGGTTACGTTAATCAATAATGCTGATCTAAACCTACAGGGAAAGCTATTTTATAGTTTTACAGACAGTTGTGATAAACTGGGTTCAACTTTTAAGAAGTTGTTGCCTTAATATTTTGCGGTATCCCAACTTACTTCGGATCGTTTTCTTTTCCCAAGTCTTGTACTGTTTCCCCCTTGGTTTATGCCTTTGTTCTTGAATACACTCCATTCTGATGCTTTTTCTCGCAAACTCGCCGAAAACCAGCTTTATTCCCTTGTGCCCCAATGTCATTTCATGCACAAAGTTAGCCTGCCTCAGATGCAAATATTTCATGGCCTTTATTCTTCGTTCTTCATTTCCAAAGCGAAAGACAGCTCTTAAGTGAGATATCTTAACTGTATCTGTGAATTGATACCAGTGATTAAAACGGACAAGCTTGTTGGAATTTCGATTTGGCGGCATCTGTTGATTAAAATGCACATTTTAAATCATTTTGATAATCATCGGTTCTTTATAAAAAGAGAGTAAAGCGTGCTTAGGCACGTGTAACCGCATGCGCCTTCTCTGAGGTCCAGCGTCATTCTTCAACGAAGGATTGACGCTTGATTGGGGTGATTCAGAGAGGTGTTGAATTTTATTGTGACCGAAAGAAACCTCGAAAAAATACGAGGCTTTAGGTATTGAATGAATCAAAACTTTGTAAATGTAAAAACCAGCCAAGCGGAGAAGTTTATGCGTCCAT